ACCATTTTAAATATTTTAGATTTTTATTAGAAGAAAATTTTGACAAAAAGAAAAATTTATTTTTTAGAAAAAAGAAATATTTTGTGACTAATTTTCACGAATTAAATTGATATGTATGCAACATTTTTACTTCATAATTTGGGCTGGAATTAACAAAACTAGCCGGAATTATAGAGGGTCAAATTTCAAAATTTTATAATACTCAAACTAATTTTAACTTGACATGACTCTTGTTATACTGAACTTATTTAAAAAATTCCAACGTAGTTCAATAGCTTTTAACTAGGATAATCGATTTACGTTGTTTTTTTTTCAAATGTTGTGCAGAAATTTAACTCATGTCAATTTTAAGAAGACCAATTATTTTGGATGTATTACTGTGACACGCACAGTATTAAATAATATAAATTAACACGTTTTAAGAATCAACAAATTTGCACAGGAATCTTGGTCAATTCAAAATTTGAGACACAACGTAAAACTATTTGCATTTTTGTCACCTTCGTACTATTGAGCATAATCTTCAAAAGCGCAGAGAAACGGGTGCCATTAAGCATAAACATAGTAATGGCAGACCATCACACAAACTCTTGCGCGATCCTTGTGTCAATTCGTTCATCATAATTCTGCTCCAACGACCCATAGACTTGCCATGTTAGCTAAAGAAAAGCATAATATACCAATTCCTCATGCTTCTGTTGGAGACATATGAAAAAGATAGCTCTGAATTTCCATACTGACAAGCCGACAGATCGAAGCACAAAGGCATTGGCACAAGCTCATATGAGCATTATTTAATAAATAAAATGGCTTTTGATCTTTTTAGAAATAAAGTTAGCATACGGTTAATAGACCAATTTGATGTTTACCAAAGGTGATGGTGCGGAGTAAATCTCACTAAAAGATAAAATACTTTTATTTGTTTCATCGATATAATGGATGGAATTTATTATGTGAATATTTTGCAGACATGGGTTCTACATGTTGCAAAAAACTTACGCGGTAGAGACTGGTGTTTGCAATAGGATAACGATCCTAAGAAAACTTCATATGTTGCAAAGGAATCCTTGCCCAAATAAAATTCGGGTTACAGAGTGGGCCATCTGATATCCAATAGCCCCGACTTAGACTGTATTGAGAATGTGTGGCATATTGTAAAAAATAATGTTGAAAAATATATGTCACCAAATATTGATGAATTCAAGCAACTTTTGAGAAATGGGAAAAATCCTCAAGAAACTTAATTAACTAATCTATTTTGCACAATTAAGAAATGAGATTTCAATTTTTTTCAACATCATCTCTAATTGATTTAAATGATGCAAAACCCAAGATCCCAATTGGACCATTATTAACATTTCTTTGTCAACATATAATGATTCGTTATAAATAACCAAATATCAATTGTTTCATTATATTCATAATTTTGAGCAATATTGTAAACATCAAGAGCTTATTTTTGAATGAATTTTGGTTTGACCAATTATCTCAATTTTTTGATATTGTCAAGGTTTGATGCTTCGATGAATTATTTTCATGGATATACAATCCCCCATTTTATTTTAAAATGTTATATGGAATAAGAAAAACAAAACTATAATATTTACTTTATTGCTGAACAAATTTGTAAAGTCACTGTTGGAAATTTATAAAACCATTTAATGTTCTAGTATGTCTTCAAGACTCCCTCCGCAAAGATAAGTTAGGATGATTACATCAAAACGCGTACACAATGTTAGCTATCGCACCAGTTAATTATGGAGCATATAGCAACAAACTTTAAAGCTCTATTATTTTTAATTGGTGTCGATTTTTAATTAATATTAATACTTGAGGGTTGGTTTTTACAAAGCGTAAAAATACAACAAAATTACGTCGTGTTCAAACTGAACTGGTTATTCAAGTTTTAAACACATCAACTTTGGTGTAGGGAACGGGTTTTAGATAATACTCGATGTTAGTTATTGCACTTGATTTTGGGATTTTTAATCTAATGCTTTCTAAATCGCACCGTTCACAGCTTTAAGAAATATAAAGGTTGTTGATAATATTTCACCCTCTTTGTCAACTTTTTGGTATTCGGGAATTGGGTTTTGATAAGGTTGATAAATTGTCAAAATGAATCGGCCGGATGTAATAGATTTATTGGGTATATACTCAAGTTATTATAGTTTTGATGATAATAACCATTTGTTGCATTTAAAAAAAATAACGTTTTCTACTCAAGATGTATGGATATATAAAAGACGCTGCTTGCTTTGCAACCATGATAAATATTATAATACTGTAATAGGGTATACAACGTTCTAAGAACGAGACATTCATTTACTATGTCGTTTGTCCAGTTTTTAATGAAAATTTTTTGTGGATTCACATATCTACGATATATTTGCTCGTTATGTTTGAATTAATGAAATGGTAATGGTGTTAGTTAATCACTACATCCTTGTATTGAAGGAGATAATTCTAGTTTTTTGGGTCAATAGATACAAGAATTTTCTTCAAGAACTTTCATTTGCACTTAAAGCTTGTTCAAAAATTTACAATTGTCATTACGAGAAATATGAAATAATGAAGCTTCAATAGAAAAAGGATCGAAAGGGTTATGTAATAAAAATAACAACAACTTTTAATTGAATATATAACATCAACATTACACCGTGAATATGGGAGAATCCAAGACCTCCTCGGAAAAATAATATATGTTTAATTCATGAACGTATCATTGTACAAACGGATGGACGCATAAAAGAACATGATACTATATGCATTTCATCTTTCAATCACGACATTTAATGCAGTTAAAAGTATAGTTGTGGTTTACGTGGGGATGGAATTGTACAGAAGAAGCAATAATGGTTTACTTATCATCCTCTTCAAAATAAAATAAAAACCAAATGATTTGATAGTTACGTATGGAGTTGGTCTCCCGTTCCACCAACAATATACTTGACAGACGAAATAGTTAATATAATATATAAACCCGAAAATTTAACAATTAGGTTCTTTGGAAGTTAAAAGAGCTACCAATCCTAACAAATAACTTGAAAATTAAACCCAAATATTTATAAAATAAGTAAATGTTGTATTAATTGTAAACAAAATTACAAGGAAAATTATTATATGCGTACATAAATATAAATTTGAATGAATCATTATTAAATAATTTACAAAAAATAATCATTTGTTTTTTAAAATTCTTTTTTGTTCTCTTCTTCTATGAATCCATCTCATAAATTTTGAAATCCATTTACCCCATATTGAATAAGTAAACATGACACACAATATAAAACTACTTACTCCAGTTACAATCCAGAAATAACTAATAAAAAAATATAAATATTAATATATTTTATATTATAAACTTATATGTGTGAATTTAAATCCTACCTTAATGGATAATCAAGTGCATCGAAAGTATGGAAATTCATTCCAAAATCTAAATAAAGAAGGAATAAGTTTTATATTTATTAATTATTTTTATATAATACATGAACATATAATATTTATTCATATAAAACTTACACCCAGCAATAAAAGTCATTGGCATAAATACAACACTGATTATAGCAATAATTCTCATGTTTTCATTGGTCTAAAAATTATAAATTATATTAATTATGTGAATTATGAATTATATAAATAGTTATTTGTATGATAAAATACCTCATATGCAAGTAAATTAAAAATCTAAATTTAAAAAATAAAAAAAGATTATTTTTTGTTTGAATTATAAAAAAATCTTGAGTCTTTAATTAATTTATTACTAACCAAATTAACTAAATTCTCTGAAATATTTGTCATTGTATCCAAATTATCAACAATTTCATTACAATGATCCTATAATTATAATAAAAATAATTAGTAAATGGTTTTTAATTTTCTTTCTGCTCAGTTTCTCTAAATTAATAATAACTCACAGCAACATCCATAAAATAAGTTTTTGCCAGTGGTGTTATGAAATCTTTTTTTTCTTCATGTTCTCTCAATATAGTAACAAGACTTTGAACAGGTCCAAGTGTTCTTTTCAAAAGTGCCAATTCACCAGATATCATGTGAAGTTCTAATTAATAAAAGCAATTTTTTTAATTATTATTATAAAGTTATTATAATAACAATAAATATATTTATCAATTATACCATGTGAATAAGTCATTTTAGGCCGTATTAACAATTTCCCTTCTAAATCTGCAATTTGGTGTCTATAAGAATCAACAATTGGCATGGCTCTATAATAATGCATAATAATAATAATAATAATAATTAAGAAAAGATTTTTCTTAATTAAAAAATTTTAATAATAATAGACTTACAAATCAACAATTGTATCAATAACAGCTTCCATCAATAAACTTGCATCATGAGCAGTTCTTAATAAAGTTTTTGGTTGATTAATACGTGCAAGAATAGGTTTATAAACAGATTTTCCATTATGTTGAAAAATAGTTAATAAAGTTTCTAAAAAAAAATTTTTTTTTTAATATATAATAATGAAAGAAAAATCAAATTATAAAATATTATGAGAATATATATTACCATCTTTAAGCAAGAAAATGCTTACTTGCTCTACATAAACATTTAATTTTTGCCTTCGTAGTATTTTATGGGTTTCCAAATATTTACTTCCTTCTTGATGGCCATGTAACAATAAATCTTTACGTGAATTATAACTAAAAGATTTAGTATTTTCTTTTCCTTCAATCATGCTTGAATTATCTCTTTCCAATTCACACTTTACATCATCATGATTAAGAGTATGAAGTAGAAGTGAGATATAAATATGGTTCTGATATTGATCCCGTTTTGTGCCTGTTTATTATTATTATTATTATTATTATTACTATTATTACTATTATTTTTAAACATTCCTTCAAAATTAACTTACGTTGAGTATTTTGTAAAGCATCTTCAATTGACAATGGGTGCAGATCTTATACATAATGCGTTATTTAGCATACAAATATTATTTTGTGCTTTAATTATATAAATAAATTAAATCATATAAATAATCACCAAATTTAAGTGCAAGTGTTTTAATCACATCCCAAGAAATTCCATCTACATTAATCCAACGAACTTTTGTTTTGTCTGGACGGTCTTTTTCTAAAAATCCTCCCAAATCCTTATTTGAAAATTTCCCAGAATAAACAACCTCATCTAATATTGCATAAAATATATGTTAATTATAATAACAATAATAACTGTTATTGTTGTTATTATTTAGAGGCTTTACCTTCACTAAAATCTGAAATAAATATGCTACATGGAAACTAAAATCAATATTATAAAATTAATAATCATTTATAATTAATTATAACCAACAATAATAACCACACTCACGTTTATATCATAATCTGCATATCTTGGATCAATCCCAGGGTCTTGTCCAGGTGAATGCATATTATCGACTAATTATTTATCAAAATTGAAAAATTAAAATGTCAAAATGATTTGCTAATGGTTTATATAAAGAATTACGTGAATGAACTTTGTAAAATTTATTTCACCCGTTAATAATCTTCTGGCAGCAATGATTTTTTTGGCTATTGCTTTCAACCTACTTCTGCTACCTAATGATAAAAATTTGAAGGAAAATGTATCGTTCATTAGTGTTTCTATCAATATGAATTAATCAATTATCGCTCTTTTTAAGAAATTTACTGCCGGTTTCAGAAACTTCATCTACATCTAGTAGATTATTTTCATCAAAATCAACAACTACTGAGCTAGGAACACTTTTATAATCTTTCTCGTCTGTCATGTTAATATGAATTTTTTTTCGATATAGTTTTTTTTTCAAAAAGTTTTTTGAATTAATTTTGTGCAATTGTTTTGATTATTCACTAATTAGTATTAGGTGTTGAACAGTTCTAAAAATAAATCGAAAAACTTTTTTGTTGGGTTGGTAACTTGTATACCAAATATAGAGTGATAATAATAATAAGGCATGAAGACGCTTAGTAACTATTTCTATTAAATATATACAGTGGATAATTTTTCTTTTAATATTAAATTAATAATTTAAAGTAGAAAAAGCGTATAATAATCAATACAATCTATAACGAACGAATTTATCTTTTACATTACATACTAATACCAGATTTTACTATAATAATAACGGGCTAAAGATTTTGTCCCAATTACTGTTTGAAATCTAACGGATATTGAATAAATTTTTTAATGACGATCATTTACCAATACTCTGTTAGCGTCCGTTGTTCTTGGCATGCTTTCAATAAGTTCGTGTAACTGCGAGTATAAACATCTCTTTATTTTCTTTTTTGAAATTTGTAACTACAGTATTACCATGAAATTCAAACAGCACCAGATTTTCGATGTAATCCTTATGGTTCGTTTTTCCATCCACCTTAACTAAAGGAAGGACCTAATCATTTGCCAGAAAAATATTCTCACATCATTCATTATACCACCACTACCATGTTTAACGGTTGGCCTAATGTTCTTAATTTTGCCAAATTCAAGCTTCCTAAAAATTTTGAAACATGACTCATCTCCCAAAATAATCGCTTTCCACTGTCTCACTGTCCAATTTCTTCTATCCATATACCATTTCAGTCAATTCTCCTTTTATTGTCTTGTTATGTTAATAGGGTATTTTTTGCGGCAATTTTCGAAAATATCCCAAGTTCGTACAAATTGTATTTTTGATACTTCTAACTTCTGTAAAACTTTTTTGATTTTCTTCTAAAGAACTACGGTTTTCCTTTGATGCAATTCTCTAAAAATTTTTGATCTTCAACTCTCAATGCTTTTGGACGACTGCACTTTTTAAATTTCTTCATTCTCATAATGTTTAATAGTATAATGAACTGTATGCCCTTGGAATGATAATTCTCATGATTTATTTGATATTTGTTTTTTTTAACTAAAAACCACAAAGAATAGGAGTAAGCTACCTAATGATATAAATTTTATGTACTTTTGTTATGTGACATTTTGTATAATTGTTAAAAAATCTTGCCTAAATACTTTTTGGAGGGTAGTGTATATAAATTGTATATTAATATGTTCATTTACAATAACATCGGACCTAATTCAAAGATTTTAAATAAGGATGTAACCTTGATTTTTGTGTCTCGCAAACCAAAGTGAATAAAAAATTTCTCGAGTACCCAAATTTGTGTGACTCGCATTAACAAGTTTAAATTGGAAAAATATGAATCAATTATTACATACTTTATTATTAGTTGATAATAAAAAAATTCTATACTTGAAGAATGATCCAAAATAAAAAAGATTTCACTATTATTAATTTGCAATATTATCATTTTTCAAACTTGATCTACCAGCTCTCATCATTTCATCTACCAACAAAAAGTTACTAGCAATTACAGAACTATCAATAAAAAATATAGGAAATTTAAAAATTATTAGATTGTTATTATTTTTATTAATGTATATATATAAATAGTAGGAAATACATACCATGAGTGTAACATGTGACGAATGACTCTATAATTGTCCCAAATACCTTCTTGAACAGGATCAAGTGTTTCTCCTGTATTTAAATCTACGCCAACAACATGGCCGGAAGCATATTCCTCCTTTATAAAAGGAAAAAAATTCATTTTTAAATAATTTATAAAATCAATAATCAATAATAATAATAAACAATCGATCGATCGATTACTTGTAAAGAAACAATAATGTCTTGAGCATCAAAACCACCGTTTTGTGCCAAAACCTTTGGAATTATCAACATTGCATCAGCAAAAGCTTGAACCCCCATTTTGGCTCTGCCTTTAACTGAATCTTTGAATTTTGTTAAATGTGCTGATAATGCAACTTGAAAAGCTCCAGCTCCTGGAACCACACTATCATCTTCAATAGCATTCTTGACAGCACGTAATCCATCACGAACTGCATCATTAATTTGAGTTATAGTGTGTGCATTAGGTCCTTTTGATTTTACATATACATCATGTGAAAATTAATGTTAATAAAATTTTATTGAAAGTATTTTTTTATTTTTATAAGAAAAAAAATTACCTTTAATTAAGATGGTAACGGATTTAGGATCTTTTACATCTTCAACAAAAGTATATTTTTCTTCTCCTAATGTGTGCTCATATATAAGTCCAGCATGTCCAAGAACATCAAGAGTCAAATCATCGACTGAATTTTGTGCGACACCACCACATACAAGTTGTAATCTTTCCATGTTTCTTCTTTTTGCTCTTCTTAATGCTAAAATGCCATTTTTACAAAGTAGATCCAATGATAAAGGATCTATTCCTTTTTGATTAATAACAACAAAACCTTTTTTCGAATCACCGCAAACTTGTTTCTTTAATTCTACAATCTTTTTAACTTTCTCATCAGTAAATTTTCTTTCTGATTCAACAAGTTTTTCACGTTGATCAGCACTTGAATAAAAAAATCCTGAATTGATTTCACTGTTAATAGGACAAAAAAATATTATTTATAAAAATATTTGACTATACTTTTGGAAAAAAACTATTTAAATTAAAATTACACATTTATTTTATCAAGACGTTATATGGGGTTATACCTTTTCTCATATTCTAAGGACACATTTAATGTCAATATATAAGCATCTTCTACACGTCTTGGCATATCTGGATGACGAGCTCCATGATCTAATACCAGACCACGGATCAAACGTGAATCAGTTGCAGTCTTATGTTGCATTTTCATAACCTCTACCATGTGTAAATCAATTGGCTGATTGTCACGTTTAATGGCCAAAACAGCATCAACAACAGCCTCTGTCAATTTATCAGCAAGAGTGCTTTGAACTTTTGTCCTTAAAGAACTACGAGCGACATTAACAAGTAATTCTCGATCAATTGATTTTGTAACTTTAAATTTATCCAAAAACTGTAAATTTTTTTTTTCAGGAAAAAAGAAAGAAGATAAAATTAAGCATATGTATATATATTATTTAGTATAATGTATATGTATATATATTATATACCTCAAGTGCTTCAAGTCTAGCTATGTCAAAACCTTCTGTTACAACTCTAGGATGTAATCCTTCTGAAATGTATCTTTCAGCTTGTTTCATTAATTCACCAACCAATAAAACTATAGATGTGGTTCCATCCCCTGTGATTTCATCTTGTGCTGTAGCAGCTCGGGCAATCATAGCTGCTGTAGGATTTTGTATTTGCTTTTTTTTAAAAAAAACATAAAATAAAAAGATTAATAAACGCAATTTATAATTAATTGATCAAAAATAAAAAGTGTTTATTTTTCATCATTTTCATAACAAGACATAATTACCATTTCACTTAAAAGAACTTTACCATCTTTGGTGATTTTGATATTCCCTGCACCATCAACCAACCTATATTTTTAAAAAACGGGGTTAAAATAAAATAAAAATATAATAATAACTTAAATGTATCCGATAAATACATTTTTATTGTTCCTTTTGGACCAAGGTTAGATTTAAGTACATCTTGTAAACCAATTGCACCCGTAATATTAATCTGAAGAGCTTGACCTCTTCTTGCCACTTCAGATTTAGGATTGATAAGTTGTACAGCAGAAGACCTATCAAATGATATAAAATAACAATTATGATTATTAATTTAATAATTATTAATAAATGTTTTTGATTTGATGGTTATACTTACATTTAATAATTATGTCTATTTAATGAACGCGAAAAAAATGGTTAATTATTTGTAAAGTTCCAAAAGATCTTTTATCAATGATGCTATATATCACATTTATCACATCACGACGATCCATACGATCCGTACGATCGATCCATTTATATCGCGATTTTTTAATAACTCAAATTTAATACTTTTGTAACCACACACACACAATTCAATTCTATCTTGCTAGGTAACTTTTTTGCAAGTTTTTGCAAACTGTATTATATATATTTTAGAATCCTCAAGGAAAAAGACATTTATATACAAAAAAAAACAGTTTTTATAAAAAGTTATAGTAAATATAACTGAGACAATAGAAGAAAAAAAATTATAATTTAAAATAATAAAAATAATAATAGGAAACAAGAATAAAATTATTTTATATAGACTCATTATATAAATTCATTATAAAAAAACTAGTTAAAAAAATAATAATAAAATAACAATTCATCTAAAAAATATTAGAAATTTCAAATACAAATATTATTATTATAATAGTATTAACGTTTCCAAGAACGCTCTCTTTCATCATCATCATCCTTTTCGAAATTATTTTTCTCATTTGTTTCTGTGGTTGCTTCGTTAAATGTAGTGGAAGTTGTAGTTTCAGTTTTGACCTCAGTATTTGTGGCAATTGGTTGTGATTCAGAATTTTCAACAACTGTAGTTGAATTAGTAACCTCTGGTTGAACAGCTGAATTAGTTTCGGAATGCCATGTCATTTGTACAACACCAACATTTGGAATATTAGATCCTTTCACAAGCGCCTATAAAATATCATTTATTACGTCAATATAATATATATTTTTTAATTAAAATAACGATCGATTTTTTTCAAGTTTACCTGTTCCGCGTCTTTTCTATTTTTAAAATGTGCAATCACACCTTTATCATCTTCAACATTAACAAAAGATTCAATCTCACCAAATTGCTGAAAACGAGCAAAAAAATTTAAAAGTATTAAATGATTGTTACCATCGCAAATGATAATATATAATATATAAGATTTAGTTACTTGAAAATAAGTTTTTAAAGCTTCAATGGAATCAGCTGGGAAATCTTTGATAAGCAATTTGCTAGAACGATTATCAAGTTTATAAGAACGAATAGCACCTCCACCGCGAACTCTTGGCCAACCGCGAGCCCTACCATAAAAAATAGAAGCACGTCCACGTCCACGGTAAACTGAATCGCCCAAATTATTTGTGATAGAAATTTCTGAAGTCTTTAAAAAAAGAATAAAGTTTAGAAAACCAAACAGATAATAAGAATAATAAAATTTTAACAACACATACATCATTTTGTGTAGCCTCAGGATTTGTTTGCAAAGAAGCTTCTGTAGTTGAACCTTTTACTGATGGTGAATCAAGAGGACCGCCAGTTTCATTAATTTTGCTTAAAATATCAAGTTCCCTATCTAATTGTTCTCGTTCTTTTTCTTCCATTAAAGATTTTGAAAATGGAGTGGAAGAAGTAATTGGTTTAAGAACTGGCACACTTGTATCTTTTTTGATGCCTTCACCAACTTTATTAAGTGTCTTGAGTAATTCTTCTCGACTTTTAGGATCACCAGTTTTCTTTTTAGAAAGTTCCATCAATCTTTTTGACTCTTCAATTTGTCGCCTAATTAATTGTTCTCTTTGTTTTTGAATTTCAAGAATTGCCTTAATATTTTCTTTTTGTTTTTTGGCTTTCTCTTCTGCTTCCTTTGTTTTCTCTGCAGTGGTCTGTTGTACCGGAGAGTCTGTAGAAACGGGAGCAGCAGCGGTGGCTTCTTGTTTAGAAGTTGCAAATGGTTGTTTTGTTCCTGCAGAATTCTGTTGTTCTTCCTTTTCCTTGAACCAATATACCTTAACAAATCTATTGCCAAAAATAGGTTCTGGAGAATTATAGGCTTTCTGGGCATCTTGATTACTATTAAACTGGATTATTGCCTTTTGATTAGTAACATCAACATTGATGTTGGTGATTATACCGAATTTCTTAAAAAATTCATTCACTTTATCCAAATTACAAAATTCATTAGGTATTCTTTCTACGACCAATGTCGAACTTTTATTTGTTTGGGGCCCATATCTACCAGCAAAACCACCACGACCAGCACCACGTGAACGGGCACGACCTCTAAATGTTGTTCCAGCACCACTAGCATTAAGATGTGCGGATTGTTGTTGTAAGCTTGCATCTAAAAAAGCAGCGACAGGTGGTGTTGGTGTCAATGTAATTGCAGTAGTTTCGTTAACAGAGCCTTCTTCAGTTTGACCTTCGACGACTTCATTTTGTTCAAGTGATTTGGATGTCAACAATTCTTCAGGCCTTGATAAAGTAGCTCTTTCAGGATCATAAGCGTCGGCAGTTGGTGTCATAGATCTAGATGTTTGTGAAGCTTAGGGAATGTAACCAAATAAATGATTTTTAGTTTTTAATAAAGGAATGATTTAGAGGATAGATAATGAAAAGTATTTACAAAATCCTGGATCCAGCTCAAATTGACCACGAACAGCAGGTGCAGTTAAATAAAAAGGTGGTCTAGGAGGACCGCCCATTAAACCAACTGGGCCAGATAAAGCTGAAGTGATAGGTGGCATAATATCATACGGTCGATTTAATTGAACATCATCTACCACAATTCTATCAGCCCCATGATCAAAAGGACAAAGGTCGCCACGCATGCAATATCCCTTTTCTGTTTCAATAAAAAATATAAACATAAATAATACAAATTAACAAATGATGATTATTTTATAATTAAAATATTTCCATTTACCATCATAATCTCGACATCGCTGACGTCTTCCAGTCGGTCTATTCTCAGGGTAGCCAGCACGATTAATCATAACAGAACCACCTCTGCTACCAACAGTTCCTACTCTTCCAGCTCTCAATCTTCTGTCATCATAACGATCATTTACTGGAGCAGACATTCCATTACCACTCCATTCATTTACCCAACGACCAGAAGCTAAATTATATGTTGATAAAATCAAGGTTAACGATTCAAAAAATTACAAATAAAAAATACACGCTAATATTCAATATTTAAATTACCAGAAGCATAGCCATTCCCATTTCCAGGTAAATTTTGATTATTTCCTATCAAATTATTTCTTGGAATTTTATTTGAACGATATTCTTCTTCAGGTTCATCACGCCGTCGTTTAAAATTTCTATCATCTTGATAATTGTTATTGTTGTTGTTGTTGTATTGGGTTGCTGCTGAAGAAGGTCCTGGAGGAATGCCTTCACCACGAAATCTTTTATTTTTTGAGTCTCTATCATCATCACGATTTGAAGATGCTCGCTCAGGATATCGTCGATAATCTTCACGATTATTATTATCACCCACACCAACAACAACACCACCACCACCTCCACCTTTCTCTCGATGTTTATAGTTGCGATCGTCATCTTCATCAGATCCTTCACTCTCTTCTCTTTTTCTAACACCGGACTTTGCCGATGAAAAATCGTTTTTGTCTGATGAATGATCATAAGCTTTTTTTTTGTTATCATTAGTTGAAGAACTTTCACCAAGATACTCTTTGTTGTATAAAGAATTAAATAATTTGTCTACAAAGCCAATAGTTTCTGTTTTTTTTTAAAAGAAAAGAAAAGATTTAAATTTTAGCGTTGGTTTCTGTATAATTGGTTACTTTAGATGTTGACAGATACCTTCTTTAAGAAAGTCGTCAAGCTGATCTATACATGTTTGTCTTAAATCCTGACTCGATTTGTCGTTTTGTAATAGAGCAATGATGTAATCTGCCAGTACTGCAGGATCTGCGTCGCATCTTTAAGAAAAAAAACTTTATTGTTAGTAAAAACAAGATTTATTTAGTAAGGAAATTAAAGAAAACGCACACTACGTACATTGGTTCCAAATGATGGCTCAAGTATTTTTTTAAAGCTTTTGAGGACGTATCGTCAAAAATCATTGTTTCTCAAGTGTACAAAGGTACTTCTTGAGAACTAAATTTGCAAAGAATATTAAAAGACTTTAAAGTAAAAAAATTTTTTGATAGACACACAAAAGGAAACAAAAAATTTGATAGAACCCCGGAAACTTTTAATTATGGTTGGGACTTTTTTCAAGGTAAAAAAGCCAAAAAAATTTGTAATATCATGTGATCTACTATTCAAAAATATTTTTTCCTGGGTAACATTATTACTACGGAATTTTCAGGAATATTTTTTTTCCGTCATTTTATTAATTAATATTAATTAATATAAACAGCCAAAATTATACGAGTTATATATATTAAACCATTGTGTGTGTGGAAATGTTAAACAATCGGAATAAATGCGTTATTACATAATAATAACAATAACAGATAGCCTCAAGGACATACTTTGGAATGATAACCCACCTCCTTTCAGAAAGAGTATCGGTACTGATAGATTGGAGCAAGTATATAGCATTCATTTTTATAGCGGTTCAGGAGGGGTATATGGACGGGTTCTTGTATTATGCAAGACGTTAAATTGGTCTTTAAATTTGTTCCGAGTCATTTAAATTTTATTTGATCAAATATCAAAAGATTTAATTTTAGCCGACACTATTTATATGAACTTGAACCTGAATTTGTGAATTGAAGTTTTAAATTGTCACTCACTCACTACAAATAATATTTTATTTATTTGCAAATTTGAAAATAAAGATTCTTTCAATGTCTAATTATATATAATTCAAAGAATTTAAATAATAAAAATTATAATACACATTTAAAAAATTATATTTTTTCTTTACTTAATCTTCATCCATTCTGTCAGGATTTTGATCGTCAAGATTACCATCGTCGTGTCGTTCTTCTCTTCTGGCTTGTTCTTCAATAGCGCGAAGGAATGATTCGACGCCTGTTTGTTTAATTTGGTTTGAAAAAAAAATTTTTAATTGAAAGATCTTAAAGCGCGATTTTTTTTAAAAGAGAAAAGAAAGAAATCAATAAAATACACTTACTGTTACTAGCAGGATCTATACCAAGTTGAGATAAGAGAGGGCCCAATTGACCAGACTGCAAAGCATAAGTTAATGATGCTAGTGACTATAAATTTAATTGGGAAACTTTTTAATTTCTGTTGATGATGATATAAGAAAAATTTCATTTTTTTTTTCAAAAATTACCTGATGAAATTGTGGACTATGAATCACTTCCATTAATTCCTCGGTTGTTGGATCAATATTTGGAGGAAGATGAGGAAACACAGCTAAAAACCATAACCAATGAAAAAAGGTTATGATAAATATCACATTCATCAAATTTTTTTAATGGATGAAAACTCTTTAACAAACCTGATGCTATTTCAGGATTACTAAATATTGGTCTAAGAGCATCAGGCTTAAGAACATCTGCGAGACTGATATCTATAATTAGAAAAAGAGAGAAAATGATGATAACCATTAAGTTTATCTTGATGAAAAAAAATTATTGCTTAATATTTGGCTAATTAATCAATCACCTCGACTTCTATTTTCGCCACTTTCATCTAATAAGAAAATAAAAGGTATTTTAAAAATGTGAAAATCGTTAAATTTTTATATCTGTTTAAAAAAAAATACTACCTTGTGGAACCTGTATATTAGCCAAAATATCTCGCAAGCTACCCAATTGTTCCTCTGAAAAAGCTGATGAATCAGCAATAGCAGCAGCAGTTCTCGTAGTGCTTGCACCTGTATTGGTAGCGGTACTTGATCTTCCGGCACCTGTTTCAGTTGTACCAGTAGTGGCTGATAGCGGTTCACTAGCAGGTGTATTTGTAGAACTAGAAAAATTACTTTTATGGTTAAAAAATTATAATGATAAATCATAGATCACCAAATAAACTATGAACATTTAATTATTAATCAAAAATAATACCCAAACGTTCCGTGACTTTGAAGTAATTGAAACAATTGTTCTTGATCCATTCCAAAACTAGTCAAATCTTCCATCGTACGAAAAGAATTATTCAACGGATTCACACTACTACTGCTACTGCTACTACCACCACTTTGTTGATCATTAAGCAGTCGATTCACTTTTTTTACATTATCTTCATCTTTATCATCTTTTGCATCTTGCATCCAAAAAAATAATTTTTGATTTGATGATTTGAAGTTAAGAAGGTAAACACGACCAGTTGTACATTGCTCGACTCGGATAAATTCTGCTTCATCCTGAAAAATTATCAAATCCTATAATAAATTGATTAGAATGATTTATTTATATCATAGATACAAATCATTCCCGTACCCACATCCACGTCCACGCCCACATATATATTTATTATTATCTTACTGTTTCCGCATTTGTGGACTTTCTATCTTTCCAATAAAAATGCATCAATCCATCTTCAGTCTATCGTAACATTTTTATTGTTAGTAATGAATATCAACTATTAATACTATCGGAAAAAACCATTTCGTATAAATACTATTGTTATTACATACCTGATCCATATAAATTAATCTATTGTGTAAATTAAAATTAAAAAAAAAAACGTTGGTTGGTTAACACTGAGTTTTTAGAGAAAAAAAACTAAATTCAATTATCATATTTTTTTAAAAAAATTCTTTTTACCCTTTTCTCTCATCTGGCTTTAACCAGTTAGTTTCACCATCACGTTTAAGAATTCCAGCTTTAAATTCTACAGGATATTTTCGTCTAGGAACTGGAGTTGGAAATAATGAGGTGGTGGCCATTTTTGCAAATATACTATACAAAGTAAAAAGTGATGTATGGAGTTGTTAATTTTTGAGGATTTTGAGTAGTACGTAATAGTTAATCATGTGATGACGATCATTAATTCACATTATTATTGTTGTACCATACAAAAAACAAAGAAGCTCCTAAAATGTCTACTAGACTTCAAAGAACAGCAGACAAATCACTTAATGAAAAACATGCAAAAATTCTCAAAGATTGCTTACAAAAACCTGAAAATAAGAATTGTGCTGATTGCAAAAGAAAAGGTCAGTCGTTACTGAAAAATAACAAAAGTTTTGATAAACATGATCTAGCATATTAGGCTAAAAAAAAAAAAATAATATATATATATATAAATTAGATCCACGATGGGCATCTTGGAATTTAGGTATTTTTGTTTGTATAAATTGTTCAGGCGTACATCGTTCAATGGGCACTCATATTAGTCGAGGTAATAAAATTTGTTCTAAGCAACATTAATTAATTAATTAGATTTCATTTAACACTAATTTTTTAATTGCTCGTTAGTCAAGTCTGTCGATTTAGATAATTGGACTCCAGAGCAAGTAGAGGTAATTGATTTTTTATTACTTCTTTTATCTATTTATCTACTTGTGTATATATATATATATATATTGAAATATTTTAAGCAAAATTATATTAAAAAACTATTATTCTACACATACATTTATGTACATAGAACGTGGTTAGGTGGGGTAATGGAAAAGCAAATGCGTAAGTGTTTTTAAATTTCATGATTATTGAAAAAAAATCGAAGGGATTAGAAACTTTGTTAGAATATGCTTGGTCCACCATTTTTATACATAATAAAGTAAAGGTTCATTCAAGATCTTATAATATTGATTCCATTATTCAAAGATATTGGGAAGCTAATTTAAAAAATAGCAAACCGTCTGAAAGGTATTCATTATTATAATTTTCCAAATTTTGATAATAAATAAAAAAAAATACTAAAAAATAATATTTATATGATAATTATTGCAACAATAGGAATATAGACTATTGGATTAGATCCAAGTATGAAGCGAAGAAATGGGCGATGAGTGGCCCTATACCCGATCCAGACACCTTTAATGACAATACTTATTTATCAGAATCTGTAAGAATTTTAGTCTTCCCCAAATTATATATATAAAAGTTCATGTTTTTCTAGTAATAACAACAGATTTTTTTTTTAATAACTAATACACACGTTCTCTCTCTTAATTTAAGACTTCAGAAAAAACTTTAGAAAAAACTTCAAGAGAAGAAATTAAAAATGAAAAAAGTCCCAAAGTTCAAAATAAAGAAAACAATACTTTTGATCTTTTTATGTCAGCACCACAATCATCATCCTCTAATAATGTTTCTTCACAACAACATCAACAAAAAAATTCTTCAAAACTTCACGGATCAGAATTTTTTTCTATAGGAAAACAATCAACCTTCACCGGTTCTATTCTTCCTCCACCGCAAGATTCATCACAATCCTCTACTGCCGCTACTACTACTACCACCACTTCTCGTCCTGCTACTCCTAATAATAATTCTTCGGGTGAACTTTCAAATCATCATAATACATTGAAATCATCGATTATGTCTTTATACAATAGCCCAAGTATTAAACCAACAACAACAATTACTCCACAATCTATTCCCGGGCTTAGTACTTTTAATATTTCACCTCACGGGTCTAACACTTCTCTAAATTCGTTACCATCATCAACTACGACAAATGACATAGCATTGGATTCAAAGAATTTAATGATGCCTCAAGGTGGTCAATACTTTACAACTTTTTCTTCTTCTTCTCAACAATCTTTATCAAATAAATCCATTTCTTCTCCTACCATAGAAACAAAACCCTCATCAAAACATAACGAGTAAGTTTTTTTTTTTTAAAAAATAATTATGAAAAAAGTTTTTTTTTTTCGAATACTTTAAATTAACTATTTATATTTTTATTATTATCATTTATTCTTATGTAAACAAGTGTTTTTGATGATTTGTTTGTTGACTTTCCGCAATACAAATAACGAATTTTTTACAAAAGTTATTATTTAATTAGATTTTAATAATTAATATTAATTAAAGTTAAGTAAATTTAGATTTGACATTTTATATACTTATATTACCATTATAATTAAAATTAATATTTAATAGTTATTAATAATAATAGTTGATGGAAAATAATTTAATTTAAGAAAAAAATTTACAGAAATATGTAAATTGGTAATATGTATTATTATTTTATCATCATCATCATCACAGATAGATTTTAGATTTTTATCATATTAATGTAAAATTTGTTTTATTAAATCGTTCTTGGTCCATTGGCAAAATGAACATTTTATGTCACGGAGTTACAGGTTCATCCTTATTTTCAAAAATCCAATGCATACTCACGTTACACCTTCGCGTTAACATTTATTTTCAAAAAATTATTTCTACTTTACAATTGTAAAACAAAACCCAAAAGCTAAATCTTATTAATATAAAAATAAAACTACAAACAAACACTTGACAGAAATGCTTGCCTTTACAAGTGAACTTTTTGTGGTTTATTGATTGGACTATTACTACACTCATCTGTCAAAAGTATTCACGATTTTGCAGGTGAGTGTATATTATCAAACTTATAAAAATCAGCTCTATGATGTAAAACAAAAGATTGATAAAATAATTAATCTAGCGTAGGGAAATTCAAAAGTTATTTGATAAAAGACTCCAAATTTTTCATTTGGTGAAATAGAGAAGAAAAGGAAATTGCTGCCCCCACTGCAAGAGGTTTTTGTTAACAAAAAATGAAGCAATCCAGGGAAAAGAATAAAATAAATGAGGATGATGATATAGAATATGAAGAAGATACTGAGATTAACAATAGTAATAATAATAATAATAGTGAAAGTATAGAACATGACCAAAGGATAGATGATGGCCTCCCATGCGATTGCTCTGGTGGTTTGTTATCTTTAATTCTTTTGATATTTAATATTATGTATTCAATCATTAGTTGAATCAAAATAAATAAAACATTATTTATCCTTTTTTAATCCTTCCTTGAATGTGAATGCATTTGTACCCATAAATTGCATATTCCTATTACAATGTTCATGATTTTGAGAAAATAAATGTACATTTCTACTATAGTTTTTTTAAAACTTTAACAGAAAATATCTCAAAATTTTATCAAGTAAGGTTGATGGACATAGTTTCTAAGCTAAAATTAATAATCGTGACGAATTGCATATAGAAATGCTATTGATTCAAAATCGTGATGTTTGTGGTTATCCTTGTTTCTAAGCTAAAATTAATCCTAGCGGCGAATTACATGTAAAAATGTTGTTGGCTCAAAATTACGATTTTGGTAGTTTTCCCTTTTCTATTGTCCGTACCCCAAATGATTAAATTTGATATTTATCATGAGCAAAGTTGGCATTGGGAAACATCCCGGACATTATCCAATATGTCAAAGGTGTATTGTTTCTTATGATTGTAGTTGAGGCAGTTGATTATTATTTGAGTCGGTGGTTAAGATGGTGCTCGAATGAAGGTTGTAGTTGTTTGTATGTTTATGTGTGGATTATAGATTTGGATCTACAGATTCAAGGTAATATCCAACACCAACCTTGATCATTGATAGGTACCAGATTTAATAAAATTTCCTTTCACGAAGATGTGGTTGCTCTTACATGCATTGTTAACTATGGATTTTTCCATAGTGAAATCTCCCCATCTTAGGAAACTTTAACACTCCCCTCGACAACAATGAAATCACAGGGCCACGCTACTCCTGAAAATTTAATTTCATCACCCATCACGTTGTCAGGATCAAGTCAGATTAGTCTTATGTACGCTAGGAAGATGAGAATAACTGTGATGTTTTAAACACTCGAACCTTGAATTAACATTCAATATCTGTAAATAAATTTCCAATAATCAAACGGATCGTTTTGTGTTTTCGGATTGTCTAAGAGCAGTTTTTCATGCGAGAGAAAGAGCTTCAATAGATATATTACTTTGACACTAACTTCTTATTATTTAATGTTAATAAAACGAATATATTAGTCATTTGTTCGTTATCGTGATAAGAGTCTTATTGTTACTCATTAATATACAATGTAAAGACACGATAAATTTTGCTCCACGTTTTGATTTCACTTGTATTATTTATGATGTTGGGCTATTTTATATAAAAAAAATAAGGTACTAATCTCTGGCCATTAACAGATATCATATCTTTTTCAGAATTGTGCTTCTGAATATGTTTATTAACCTCTAGTGATTATATCCGCCTGATAATATTCGAATAGGAGTTTTTACCTTATTATTACTATATATAATAATTGATAAATTTTTTTTACGCATGTTTATCAATTAAAAATGTCATTAAGAATTAAAAACACAAACAAGAGAAAAAAAGAAACAAGAGAGAAAAACATGAGCAAATATTATCAGAGAATGATTATCATTTGAGTAAATTGTTTATTTATAACCGTTTTTTATTTATACTAAATGAGCAAAAGAAAAGAAACTCGTGATATAAGTCATACATGATAATAAACAAACGATTGGTATATTTTTTTGGGTATATGCAGGTTGAGTACTGTACACTTCATGCAGTGAGTATAGTACAAACATAAAAAATTAGATCGAGTACAGTAAGTACAATTATAGGACCCACATAGGCATGTAAGTATGATTATAATTACCAAAAATAGTTCATACTATACTCACTGCACGAAGTGTACAGTACTCAATCTAACACAACCGTATTTGTTTTGAGTATTAGTATTGGTTGTGTGATCAGTTATGTTAGGTTGAGTGCTGTACATTTCGTGCAGTGAGTATAGTACACTTACATAACATGCATTTTTTTTTGTACTCAAGCTAAATATTGCGATTAGTACATTTGTAAATTTAAAATGAATGCCTCCCCTCAATCTAACATAACTGCCACCAATCTAATACTACAGATCGGAAACATGATTTTAATTATACAATAAAATGTATTTTTTAATCTTGAAAGAAACATACAGTATATAAAAATAGAATTCATTGAACACAATTAAATTTGATGTCTGTAACTGTTTTCACATTTTCTGAAACTGCGGGTTTTAAAGCTCGAGTTGCAACCTTTTCTGCAACCTCTGCAACCCTGCAGCCCTATAAAAAATAACATACGGCAAAACAGTACATGAACCGTATTGTTTTACGGAATAGGTACGGAAAAAATGTGCGGAATCTTCCTGTTAAATGCGCCGAAATGTACGGAATTTGTGCGGGATAGATACGGAGTAGGTGCGGAATGCGTACGAAACATGCACGGAATACACACGATTTTTACGGAACACGATTTTCTTGTACGTTTCTCGTATGAATTACGTGATGTGCTAATGTAAAATTCGTGCGGAAAACGTATGGGGAAAACGAATTCCGTATGTTTTCCGTAAAAACCGTGTGTATCCCGTGCGTGTTTCGTACGCATTCCGCACCTACTCCGTATTTATCCCGCACAAATTCCGTACATTTCGGCGCATTTAACAGGAAGATTCCGTACATTTTTTCCGTACCTATTCCGTAAAACAATACGGTTCGTGTACTGTTTTACTGTACAAATTTCGTACAGTTTCCATACATTTTCCGTACCAAATTTTTTATAGGGTGATGTTCCATCATAGTGGGAGAACCCTTATTCCGATGCTTTCCACAACTTTTACAATCAGCAATGTAATGATCAGGAGAAATTTTTATTCTTTTATTAAAGTAATTCCATACTACAGCATGTGGACGTCCACCTTTTTTTCTTTGTGTATCTATTTCATTATTAATAGGTATTAGAGAAAGTGATGAGAAGACGAAAGAGAATGTGGAAAAGATAGAGGAGGCGAAAGAGAAGTTTGTTGAGTATTAGAACTTGAAGAATCAGATGTAATTGGGTTTGACATTTGTGAAAATATGATAAGAAAAAAAACATATAATAATGTGGGAAGATGATTAATTTTCTGCATGATTGATTATCAGTCCATCTATCATGGAGATGACAATTAGGAATTCAAGTCCCAAACATTGTTCCAAATGGACAAAAGAACAAAGGAATTTGTGTTTTAACAATGCTGTCAAAAATCCTTTTAAACCATATTTTTAAAGATTTAATTAATGAATGAATGTATTTAAAATAAAATAATGAAGAAAAAAAATTTTATTAATTGTGTAGATTCACATAATAAAATTAATTTAACACATTCCTATATTGTTCTGAATTGCCTAAATGCCTAAACTATGGGTTAGTTTCGGCCACCATCATCATTATGATATATTAATATAAAAAAAAAGATTTTCCATAAAATGGGTTTTGTGCACAGTCACATGTAAAAGATGGCTCTGCAACTTCAATCACTATAAAATTAAATTTATTTAATCAAAAAAAATTTTTTAATTAATGATTTTATTTAAAAACAATAAATCCCATTTTGCAGTTGTGATTCCATTTTTGATAATAAATCATCATAATTATAGTTTCAGGGGTTGCAGAGGTTGTAGAAAAAGTTGCAACTTGAGCTTTAAAATCTGCAATTTTAGAAAATGTGAAAACAATTACAGACACCAACTTTAGTCATGCAACTTTTTTCAATTGAAATAGCAAAAAATATCGACGATTGATTTTGTCACAAGCGATAAAATGAATGTCCACTATGATATTTACCAGAGACTAAAAATCTGTTTTTAAAAATAAAAATGATCAGCAGATGCGGTGTGCATTGTGCGCATCATGCACATGAATATTGAATTTTCCCCATCCCTTGTTACTCACGATTTTTTTCTGAGTGAACATTCAATTTTCAAATTTTCTTTAAATATCTTTTTTATTCACTCCATTCACATTAAAGCTTTTGAAAAAGTATTCAATAATGGATAAATTTGTTATTCACAAAAGTAGACTCTGAGGATAAAGAAAAAAGTAATGAAGGATCCGAACAGGCAGCAGCTAGTACACAAAAGCGAAAAAATAAAGAAACAATCAGACAAGAAGGTGAAGATTTTGTTCCAAATCGATTATGAATTTACCCTTGGATTGAACAAAGTGAAGATAGTAATAGAAAGATAACAATGTTTTGCAGCTGGTGTAAAAGGAAGAATATTTTTACAACAGTGGTGCACAATCATACCAAAAGCAAATGGATATGTAAAATTAGTTACTATATTAATATAACATCAATCGGTTTTTTGCATTTTTACACCAACTGTAAGGATAAATTTCGCATTTTTTTTCTTGATTGGTTGGTGTTATTATTATTATTATTATTTCCTCATTTTTTTCACTTTCGTGTACTAGCTTGCTATCCTTTCTTTTACTTTGCGAATAATAACATTGAAAAAAAAAAAATGATAAATTTGATCCAACTGAATCCATCACACCTCTAAATTTATATCGTGAGCAAACAAATTTATTATGTATTTTGCACATTTCTACAGAAAATCTTAAGCTCGTGCAAATTGTACAAGATGAAAAACCTCAATACTGTTTATATTTGACATGTTTTTTTTTTAGAACATTTTTTTTTGCAATTTTGTCCTACCAGGATTTTCAGTTGTTTGGAGATATCTTACTACCTTTGTGAAGACCTAAAAAATTAGAGGTAAAAAAAAACCTAATCGGTTAAGCATATAAATAAGAAATCACCAACCATGTAATTTATGATTTTAGTGTACAAAAAAATGTTAGTATGTTGTTATTTGATGACTTAATTTCTTTTAAATAATGAACAATTCTTATGTCTACTCATTATGAATCAACTATTATTATTATTACCTTTATATTATCTTTATATTATCTTTCTAGGTGACAATAAATTATAATTACAAAGATTTTCAATAGGTAGTAAATCAATTTAGTTGTATTTCACTTTTACTCTCCATTCTCTTACATCAACTGATAATGTGAATGTGGCTTCATTTCACAATTAAGTGGGGTGCTTTGTCATTTTAACTTTACACAATTAAAAATAGATTCAAGGGTTCTGGCCAAAATGCATATTGATCCTTTTCATTTATCACAAATTGGAATTAAGGGTAATCTACGTTTTAACCTATTTTAACAGATTAATGGATTACTTTAATAATGGGTTAGTTAATAGAATAATTTAACGCCGGCTAACTGTTTATTAACCTCTAGTAAAAATAGGTGTACAGATACTTTTAATAGATATATAATAAAATGGCAGAAATAAGGAAAAATTTGAATTTAAATTTGTATTTGTATTTTTTGTTTTGACATAATGAAATAGTGTGTTATTCTTTATTAACCCATATTTTTAAGAATAATTCAATACCACACATCACAGCAATATCAACAATTTCTTCTTTTTCTAAATCCAGTTTTTTTTATTGATGCTATTATCAAGTTTTGTGGTATTTAAACTTGAGATAACAAGGTTGTACTAAGTTTTTATATTAGTGAACTTATTATGGTGAAATTTATTATTAAAAATTATTAAATAGGGTTATGCAATGAATATAATATGATGACAATGATACTATTTCTCTATTACTTGAGAGTAGATTTTTTTGTTAATTCAAAGAATCCCAACCTTCCTCCAAAAATTTTTCTACCGCATTCCAGCCAACATACAATGTCATAAGTGTGATCCCATATTGAAGGGAGGGCTCTGTCTTATTGAAATAAATAATAATAACAATTAGAATTTATGAAAAATTTATTAACCCTGCCAATTTTAGAAATTTTTTTGATCCTCAAGATAGATATTATTCTCGTAGGTAATTCAGACTGAAAATTTTTTATCAAAATTGTCTTCAGGGGTTCTTTCCCTTTATAACATCCCGGTTTCAAAAAGCATAGTTGAAGTTTGTTGTTACACGAAATGTTATATAGAACCCATTGCTCCTGAAACTTTGTCAGTATATGGTTGTTACCTCTCTAAATTGGAGATCAAGTTCAAATCCAGTTTATCACTTACTTTTTATTGCCAGAATGTTTGCCATGTATGGTAAAGCTACATTGCGCAATATAAAAAATTAGTGTAACATTTCAAATTTCCACTATGTTGTTTCAAAATTGGTCCTTAAAGTTAACTTTATTCCTAAAAAAGGATATTATTTCTATATTTGCATTTAAACAATAAAATTTTCTCTGTAACATCTTTATTCATCTTTATAATTATTATTGTCATCCAAGTGAATTCGTTTTTATCATCATTACCATTATTAATTATTATTATTATTATTATTATTATTATTATTATTATTACAAGTTGATAAAGGACCAAGTACGGACTTGAAAATCCTAAAGCAACTTCATTATGATGAGGTGTCTGTTTTGATGATGGGCAAAAATGAAGTTGGAGATTGTAAAGATGGAGAAGATGCAGTAACGATAAAGTTCTCGTTTACAATAATTTATATCATAAGGAAGTCTTCTTTGTATTCCCCTCATCCCAACTTGTTCCTTTGTTTTATTTTTATTATCACCACTAATAGTAGGGTTAATTGCTGAATAGGCTCGATGATTTTGAATTTCTTGTTTTTCTTGTTCTAATTGTTGTTGTCTTTCCATTATTATATTTATTTTCCTTTTAAGATTTAAAGAATAAAATTAATCTAAAATAATTTTTTAGGAAGCATGATTTAAATAACTTGTCTGCTATATATATTATTATTATTATTATTTACACTTGTCTACTTTTGTTAAATCACAACATGATTGCGGAAAGAAAGGATCGTAACTTTTATTTTTTGCTCCAAAATTTATTGGTATCGAGTACTATATGTATAGTACATATCAGGCAGGACTTTTTCCTTTAAAAAAATTTTTAACTTTTTGGAGTTTTCCGGATCTATTTTATTTTTTGTTTTTTTTGTACGGATTTTCCATCCGCATAAAATCAAATACAATTTACAAATCAATAAAATCAATACTAGACTTCTTTTTTTCGTTTTACTATTTAAAAAATACTCGATTTAGGTTTTAAACATTTTTTTCCCCCCAAGAAATTTGCGTTAAAAATTTTTATTTAAATATTTCAATACTGTCCTTTATCTCAAAAAGAAAAAAAGAAACCTAAAATATATGAAGATACAATTAAAAAAGTATTTAAATATTTAAATAAGAAATTATAACAAAATAATAAATAAATAAAATTGGCAAAACTGGATCCTTTAATTAAAACAGAGGAGGAGAAAATAAAAAAGAAAATGAACATTTTTAAGAAGAAAAATGTTTTTAAACGTTTAAACATATTAACAATTCTTGTACTTGTAATAATGATGATCCTAATAATGCAATATATCGTAACTAATAGTCGTGTGCCTGAACCTGGTAAATAAATAAATCAAAGAAAATTACATGACCATGCACATATATTCATATTTATAATATATTTACATATGTATTATCTTATAACTTTTGTATATTTAGATTTCGAATGCATTGAAAGTGATAATAATAACATTAACAATAATTACAATAACGATAGAAATAAATCATTTACAATTGTAACGGGCGCAAGTAGAAATCATTTTTGTCCATTAAAGGCTTTTCTTTATGATATGTATGAGACGCTTGAAGGATTTGATTATAATATGGTGATATATGATCTGGGATTATCAATAGAGCAAAGAATGGCATTAAAAGAATTAAAGAATTCAGATTATTTAAGTGATTTAAGAGTATTTAATTTTAGTAAATATCCTTCATTTTGGGATATTCATGAGGGAAGAGGCGAATACGCGTGGAAACCTGGAATGATTAAAGAGGTATCTAAAGATTATCCTGGCACACTTATTTGGTTGGATACCGGCACAAAAGTTGAAAGATTTTTATTCAACAAATTAAAAAATATTACCGAGACATTTGATGGATTTATATCACCAAAATCACCTGGATTCATGAAGGATTGGACTCATCCTGGCGTATATGATTATTATAAAGATGATCATAACAAATATGACAAATTGGTGAATTGTAACGCGGCTTTTGTGATATTTGACACATACAGAGTGCAATATTTGATTGATGAATGGTATTATTGTGCACTGGTTAAAGATTGTATAGCCCCAGTTGGTAGTAGTAGAGTTAATCACAGACAAGATCAAACAATACTGACTTACTTGGCTGCAAAAGGTAACAGATATTGTGATAAGAATAGAAGTTTATTTGGAGTTACTACACATATGGATAGTTATTGTAAAGAAACCATATCGGTTTATGAATCAAATCACCCCGAGCTTCAATAAAGTATTAATTAATTTGTACATTTCTAATAATTATGATTTTTTTTTTATGTATATTTTAATTTTCATTTTTAATAGAATTATAATATTACATAGAGTAATAGAAACTGATTAATAATTTAATTAGAGCATTCATTATATAATATATATCAGTATAGACTAAACTTTTTTTTGAACAACTAATAGTCGATTAAATAGTTAACTATTTTAATCGATTATTTAGTCGACTATTTTAGTTGAATATTTAGTTGACTATTTTAATCGACTAATTAGTCGCCTACTAATATTACTACTACTACTAATACTAATGCTAATATTAATACTATGTTAGTGTTATTATTGTCTGACCAATTACGATTTTTGTGTTTTATCATTCAAAATGGAAATTTTCTATGCGGAAGAGTATCAATACCATCAATATGATGATGACGACAGTGGTGGTGATAAATTTACATGTGAACTAATAAACAATTCCAATATAATGTCCAATAGTTCAAGTTCTAATGATTTAAGCGGTGATTCCAGAAGACCTTTTAAAAAACGAATCGTAACACATGGTTTTGTGTGGATGCATCTTGAAAAAGCGAAAATAAAAATAAAATTTCTAATCGACTAATTAGTTAATTAAAATAATCCGACTAAAATAGTCAACTAATACTAATACCAATTAGTCAACTAAAATAATCGACTAAATAATCGACTAAATAGTCAACTAAATAATTGACTAAAGAAATTTTGACCAACTAGTAGTCGACTAAGGATTTTTTTGGGACGATTCCAACCTCTATATCAGTAAATAAGATTGTTAAATAATAACAGTTTTTTTAATCAATAATGAATAAAGTTCAGAATGATTCGGGTTTGGTTTTTTTAAATTGTTATTGAACACAAAAAAAAATTTTTTTTCTTCAATGAACTTCATCCAGCGAATTATAATTAAATTCGCGTTTCAACGAACTTTAAAAATTTTGTTACACATTATTATTATGAAAACAAAAATTATTCGTTGAAACGCGATTAGTAATCTCGTTTCATGAATTTTGAATGAAATTTTCTTATATGTAAGCCACTTCGTTGAAACGAGGTTTGACTGTACAAACCTCTTATATTCAATTAAATTGATTAGTAGCACTCTAATTACAACAAATATTGCACTTAATTACTATTTAGCAATTTAATCATGGATCCGCACTTGTGCAATTGCGATTCAGTTGTTTAATCCCGAAATAGCTCTTCAAGTGCTAGTATGAAATCGCAAAATCTACGTTAATTTCTACTAAATACATTATAATGTTATAAAATGGAATAAATAAATTATAAAAATATATTAATGCGGAATCAGAGAATTAATTTCTAATTCTGGTAACACTATCAATTTAAATTTTTATTGGTTTAAAAATAAGTTCGGTTTGAATGCAAAAAACTCGATTCAGTTTACTATTACTCATCAAACCGAACCATTAAGAACTTTAATGATGAAGTTACACAATCAAATATTAATATTAATATTATTATAGTTGGCTCGGCCTAAAGACCTCCTAAATTTTGGGCAAATTTTAAAAGTATAAAAGTCATTTTCTGTCCTATCTTTTTAAAAAATAGCTCTATTAGTTGATATAATATGTATTTAGTTTTAATGTAATAAAGAGTTTTTCTCAAAAAAATTCTTTGTTGTAGAGTTCTATTTTTTTTTTAAAAACATGTACTTTACTATGCTCATGAGAAATTTGAGCACTAGGATCACTGCTAAATTTAGACCAGTTTTGATGATCATTATTAAATTTAGACTAATACTCGACCATCATATCTAAATTTGGCAGTAAGATAAACCAAAATCACGTGAAACCCTTTTTAAAAAAATTTTTTGAACCGAATCATGAAATCGTAATTTTTTGAAATTTGAGCATGTGGCGCAGCAATAGGAGGTCTTTAGACCAAGCCAATCATACTATTATTATTGATGGATATTAATATTAACGGATACTTAATAATTATATCCACACCAAGGAAATAATAAAGTTAGAGCTCTGAACGAGTTGGGTCGGGTCAACGGGTCACAGATTAATTTTTTTATTTATTGCAAAAAACTTAAAAAAACTTGTACAAAAAAATTATTATTTATTTTAATTATTCAATTTTAATACATTTATCTTTTATCATTGTCATTGTAATTATTGTAATTGTCAATCTCAATTCTTCTTTAATTAATTTAATTAATTTATGCTTATACCCTATAAAATATAAAATACGGGATTGGTATGGAATAGATACGGAATAGGTGTGGAATGTAAAAAAAAGTACAGAAAAGTCACACAAAAGGTGCAGGAAAGACTGTTAAAAGTATGGAAGTTTTGTTTTTGTTACATGAATTGTTTCCATACTTTTTCCCGCACCTTTTGTACGTCTTTTCTGCACTTTTTTTACATTCTGTACCAACTTTGTATTTTTTTTTTATGGGAATACTGTGGTTTTTTTTAAATTTATATAATGATATAGTATAATGATGAAATAGTAATAATAATAACCAAATAATTTTTCCGTAATAACCATAGTAATAATAATAATAATAATAATAATAATAATAATAATAATAATAATAATAATAATAATAATAATAATAATAAT